TTTTTGATTGCCACTGCACATTAGAATCATAGAAGAATAGGGTTGGAAGAGATCTTAGGAGGTCATCTAGTCCAATCCCCTGCTCAAAGCAGGACCAAAGCCAACTAAATCATCCCAGCCAAGGCTTTGTCAAGCCGAGCCTTAAAAACCTCTAAGGATGGAGCTTCCACCACCTCCCTAGGTAACCCATTCCAGTGCTTCCACCCTCCTAGTGAAACCGTGTTTCCTAATATCCAACCTAGACCTCCCCCACTGCAACTTGAGACCATTGCTTCTTGTTCTGTCCTCTGCCATCACTGAGAACAGCCGAGCTCCATCCTCTTTGGAACCCCCCTTCAGATAGTTGAAGGGTGCTATCAAATCCCCCCTTACTCTTCTCTTCTGCAGAATAATAACCCCAGTTCTGTCAGCCTCTCCTCATAAGTCATGTGTCCCAGTCCCATAATAATTTTTGTTGCCCTCTGCTGGAGTCTCTCCAATTTGTCCACATCTGTTCTGTAGTGGGGGGACCAAAACTGGATGCAATAGTCCAGGTGTGGCCTCACCAGTCTCAAATAGAGGGGAATAATCACTTCCCTCAATCTCATGGCAAAGCTCCTGCTAATACAGCCCAATATGCCATTGGCCTTCTTGGCAAAAAGGGCACACTGCTGACTCATATCCAGCTTCTTGTCCACTGTAATCCCCAGGTCCTTTACTGCAGAATTGCTGCTTAGCCAGTCGGTCCCCAGCCTGTAGCGATGCATGGGATTTTTTCTTCCTAAGTGCAGGACTCTGCACTTGTCCTTGTTGAACCTCATCAGATTTCTTTTGGCCCAATCCTTCAATTTGTCTAGGTCACTAGTGGATGTTTTCAGAATACTATCCACAATGACTCCAAGATCTCTTTCTTGAGTAGTAACAGCTAATTTAGACCCCATCATTTTATATGTATAGTTGGGATTATGTTTTCCAGTGTGCATTACTTTGCATTTATCAACATTGAATTTCATCTGCCATTTTGTTGCGCAGTCACCCAGTTTTGAGAGATCTTTTTGTAGCTCTTCACAGTCTGCCTGGGACTTAACTATCTTGAATAGTTTTGTATCATCTGCAAATTTTGCCACCTCAGTGTTTACCTCTTTTTCCAGATCATTTATGAATATGTTAAATAGGACTGGTCCCAGGACAGACCCGTAGACGACACCACTATTTACCTCGCTCCATTCTGAAAACTGAACATTTATTCCTATCCTTTGTTTTCTATCTTTTAACCAGTTACCAATCCATGAGAGGACCTTCTCTTATCCCATGACAGCTTACTTTGCTTAAGAGCCTTTGGTGAGGGACCTTGTCAAAGGTTTCTGAAAATCTAAGTACACTGGATCCCTGTGGTGGGGCATCAGCCCCACACTGACAGAAGAGGGGTTAAAGTAGCTCAGGGAGACTGCGCAGGAGGCAGCCAATTAGGGTGGGCCATGTAAGAAGGGTTGCTGAACAGAGCAGCTTCAGTCATTCGCTGGAGTTTGAGAAGGGAGGACTGGCTGCCCGGAAGGAGGGAGAAGAGACTGTACCATAGTCCGAGTAGTGCTGGGCAGGGTCAGAGGAACATGAGTGAGCTGCCAACTGACCACTGCCAGACTGAGGCCCTGATACAAGGGCGGATAAGGTGTGAGGGCTGTGGGGAAGTGGCCCAAGGAAACTGATGGCAGAGGTTGGAGGTGACACAGAGCATAACTTCTGGTCCACCCCCCCACCCCTTTGGCCCCAGTTGCCACTGACGCAGGTGGCTAGACCTTGGACTGCAGCCTGCCACTGAGGCAAGTGGCTAGACAGAGGACTGACGCCCCCTGGAAAGGGGGTAGTGGTGAAGGAACCGAGTGGGGCACAGCCAGAGGGCTGTATCCAGAAGAGGACACCGTGGTCCTGAAAGTGACATGGGTCCTGATGGCGAGATGCCAGTAGATGAAGTTGCACCAGCAAACTAGAGCTAATTCCCAGGACAGCCAGCAGGAGGTGCCACATTGGTGAGTTGAGCCCCGTTACAATCTCCTTTGTTCATATGATTGTTGACCCCCTCAAAGAATTCTAGTAGATTGGTGAGGCATGATTTCCCTTTACAAAAGCCATGTTGACTCTTCCCCAACAAATTATCAGAAGGGTAGCCATGTTAGTCTGTCTCTGTAAAAAGTGAGAAAGAATCCTGTGGACTAACGTGACCCATCATGAGTCTGACGAAGTGGGTATTCACCCATGAAAGCTTATGCTCAAATATGTCTGTTAGTCTATAAGGTGCCACAGGACTCTTTGTCACTTCCAACAAATTATGTTCATCTATGTGTCTGACAATTTTGTTCTTTACTATAGTTTCAACCAGTCTTCCCAGTACTAAAGTCAGGCTTACCAGCCTGTAATTGCCGGGATTGCCTATGGAGCCCTTTTTAAAAATTGGTGTCACATTAGCTATCCTCCACTCATTTGGAACAGAAGCTAATTTAAATGATAGATTATATACCACAGTTACTAGTTCTGCAATTTCACATTTGAGTTCCTTCAGAACTCTTGGGTGAATACCATCTGGTCCCGGTGACTTATTACTGTTTAATTTATCAATTTGTTCCAAAACCTCCTCCAATGACACCTCAATCTGGGACAGTTCCTCAGATTTGTCACCTAAAAAGAATGGCTTAGGTTTGGGAGTCTCCCTCACATCCTCAGCCGTGAAGACCAATTCAAAGAATTCATTTAGTTTGTCCGCAATGGCCTTATCATCCTTGAGTGCTCTTTTAGCATCTCGATCGTCCAGTGGCCCCACTGGTTGTTTATAGGCTTCCTGCATCTGATGTACTTACACAAAATTTGCTATTACTTTTTGAATCTTTGGCTAGCTGTTCTTTAAATTCTTTTTTTTTGGCCTTCCTAATTATTTTTTTATACTTCATTTGCCAGAGTTTATGCTTCTTTCTATTTTCCTCATTAGGATGTAACTTCCACTTTTTAAAGGATGCCTTTTTGCCTCTACCTGCTTCTTTTACTTTGTTGTTTAGTCACAGTGGCTCTTTTTTGGTTCTCTTACTATGTTTTTTCATTTGGGGTATACATTTAAGTCGAGCATCTCTTATAGTGTCTTTAAAAAGTTTCCATGCAGCTTGCAGGGATTTCGCTTTTTGCGAATTACCTTTTAATTTCTGTTTCACTAACTTCCTCATTTTTGTGTAGTCCCCCTTTCTGAAATTAAATGCTACAGTGCTGGGCTGCTGTGGTGTTTTCCCCGCCACAAGGATGTTAAATTTAGTTATACTGTGGTCACTATTACCAAGCAGTTCAGCTATATTCACCTCTTGGACCAGATCCTGTGCTCCACTTAAGACTAAATCAAGAATTGCCTGTCCTCTTGTGGGTTCCAGGGTTAGCTGCTCCAAGAAGCAGTCATTTAAGGTGTCAGGAATTTTTATCTCTGCATCCTGTTCTGAGGTGACATGTACCCAGTCAATATGGGGATAGTTGAAATCCCCCATTATTATTTTTTATGAGATTTTTATTTTAATAGCCTCTGTAATCTCCCTGAACAGTTCACATTTCTGGCTCTGTGAAGCTGGCTGAAGCTCCCAAATTTCAAAGGTCATCTTAGCCCTGTAGTACAATAGATCCGCTTGGCAGTAGCTCTAATTCGTGACACTTACATAGGGTTCTTAAAGGACCCTCTGCTAGTAGAAAATTTGCATAGCAAAACAGAACTCTGCCATGCCCCTCCCTAGCCCCAGCATAGCATCTTCTGTCTTTGACATGTCCCCTATGCAGAGCGGGAGGCAGAGGCAGAGGCAGAGACACAGATCTGACATAGTAATAATCACCAGAGCGTTCCTCTATGCCAAAGGGATTTTCTGATGGGCATTTACAGCCAGATTACAGCCCTTTCATACCATCTAAGCAATGGAATCGAGCAAAAGACTCATTAGAGTGAGTGTCCTATTTGAGATGACTTGTTTAATTGGCTCTTGGCCTCACTAATTGTAAATTGGGCAGTCATCCCCAATATATACTGATAAAACTTTTATACCAAATCATATCATCATATTGTCTGTCTGCCTATTGAGTGCCATCATTAATTCTGAATACAAGCAAATATGCAAAAGACCAGTAAAGATGGAAACATTAGTTTCTGCTGGTCCTATTACTTGACCTCTGCTTCCAAGTTTGTTTATTGTAGCTTCACAGCCACAAAGAAAGAGCTCCCACATTTACAAATAAATAAATAAATACATACATAAAATTCTGCAACATCCAATGGTAAAGAAGTAAAACACTGCATTTTACAGTGGTTTAAACTGTCTGGGACCATAATGGTAATTAGAAGTAATGGAAGAAATACAGAAAATTTAAAACAAGTATTTTTGAAAAAATTCTGGTGATTTCACTCCCTTGTTTTTGATGGGATCATGTCATTCAGTGTTTGAAAGTATTTTCAAAACTGCCAGCTTATTTATGAAAATGCATGTGGATCCCTAAAGTTTCTCAAATGTTACCACAATCAATATTCATCTGAAAATCTGGAGCAGACATGCACTGTTTGACATTTGCTATTGGTTTTTCTCATGTGTAAGAAGCTTCAATCAGGTGGAAGGAACAATAGGATAATACTATATGACATAGGTGACCAATCACTCATTGCAAACAGTCAAAATGAACAGACACTAGAGAACTAGACAGAAAAAATAACAGGACTTCATGACCTTCAACTGTATCAAATATTTTATCGCTGCAGACCAAATCTTGAGCACATGTAAATTCCATTAAAATCATTGCTTATTCTTTTAAAGAATATGACTCTAAGAAAGGAAGGAAGTGAGATTCAGATCATAGAGTTATAGATTTTAAGGCCAGAAGGGACCATTACATCATCTAGTCTGACCTCCTGTATATTGGAGGCCACAGAAATTCACCTACTTACCCTAGTACTGAGCCCCATAACTTCTGTTTGGCTAACGTATATCTTCCCAAAAGCCATCTAGTCTTGGTCTAGCCAAGTTCTGGCCAAGGTGTCTGTTATCAGGAAGGTTTCAAGACAAGCAAGTACTGTTATACTAGGTAATGCTCAAAGTAGTCTTCCTTCAAAGTGCTCCATTGCTGCTCCATTTTCAGAAGAACCATATAAAGTACAGGCCTCAACTGATGCACATTGACAGCAAAGAGATTTCTCCATGTAGGCTGAGGGCACCTTGGGCTATAGCAATCTTGACATGGTGACAAGTGTAATAATATACATGTTTACTCAATCAAGAGTCTCTTTGTATCCAAAATGTAAGATTTTTACAGTTGCATCATTTTCCAGATAATTTAATTTGAATGTATTTCAAGCTATAACCTAATCATCATTCATTAGATTTATTTACTTTTAACTGACACTAAAATGGATGGGAGTTTTCACATTTACTTCTGTAGGCCAAGCATTTCACTTACCTATATTTGTTATTATGATCAGCTATGTGACTTTGTATGTAGAGGTCTAGACATGAGGACAATTTGCAAATTGCCTTTATAGGATTTTCAACTTATTAGTAAACACTTGCTTGTACAAAATACATCACTGATTTCAGAACAAAGTTTAGATCCTTTCCACCCAAATTTGCAGTTAATTTTTGTCAATGCCTGACACCAGTAATTCATTTATAGCATACTTTATATGTATTAAAGAAAAGTCCATTTCACAGTAGGGCAGATTATGTCTAGTAGAATGATGACAAGTCTGAGAGTCAGGAACCAGTATTTCTCATTCGGTGACTGAATCAGTCTGTAACCTTTCACAAGTCACTTAGCCTCTCTGTGCTTTGATTACCCCATGTGAGTGGAATATCCTGGCTATTGGATATGTCTATTGCTGCCCTCTACTGCGTGGAATCAGAACTTCTCTCCTCTGTGCCATAGGCCCTATGTGGCTAATAGCTACAGAGAATTTTTCTTTAGCTCTTGCAATAGCAATTTTTCTTTAGCTCTTGCATCCATAGCAGAAGGGTCTGATTATATTTACTGCCATGTATTTCCAGAAACCTATCGTATGCAAGGATGGCTGTGGTCTAAGCCACTGTGTTCATCACAAGGGCTACAAAGTTTACTCTCAGCTCAAAGCAAGAATTTGCTCCCCCTTCCCCAAACACTAGCCTCACAGTATCAACACTATAGCTTTATGTGACAACAGACATTTTTAATAGCAGCTTGTAAGCCCATAAGGAAATGCATATGACATTTCACTTTTATAGTGTCACAAGGCTTCAGTGTTTCAGACCCTTTAAAACGAAACCCTGCTCAGGGTTCAATCTTTATCTTTTTCATTCTTTCTTTACACAACCCCAGTGGCTCATCTTTCTTTCATCCCACCAAGGGACTTATTTAACACACATTTCTGCTCTTTGCCTTTGATTCCAGTGGGGCTGTCTAATTTGGTTTTGCCAAAAGAATGTATGTTGACATAAGTGGAGACAGAATTAATATTTTAGCCTCGTCTTTGGAGCTGCTGATTAGATGGACTCCAATCTCCCTTTCCTCCTTGCTGCTGATTAGCAGTATGGCTGGGTGGTACCACTATTTTCAGTGTCAGTCCAATAAGCAGTTGGGAGGGGAGTGCTGCAGAATAATAATCCTGTAATAACTAAATGATCGGTTCCTTTGCTAATCTGCACACCATGGCCACTCTGATCTTCATGGCAGCAGCAGTCAGAAAATTTAAATCCTCATTCCCAAATAGACAAGACTGCACTACTTAAGGTAAAGGAGAATCTCTCATATCTGTTAGGAGTCTAGGGTTTATGGTACACAGTTGAGAAGTTCTGATTCTCAGAAAAAGAGAAAAAACATATAATCCAATACCAAATAGTCAGTTCATTACATATACACCTAGTTAGAAATAACTTGGCCTCAAAATTCATGGCCAGTGGACTTAATATCTCACTCTGACACCAGTATAACAAACCTGTGGCTAGTACCAGTTAATTCTTGGTTGTCATAGTTCTGCAAATCATGACTATTTAGGAAGTCAGTGGAAATGTCTGGTTGGAGAGAGAGAGAGCAGAATGGGTCTCAAATTGTTCATAAACAAGATGTGTGGGGTTGGAGAAGCACCTGAATACTCATTTATTCAGCTAAATGTATCTGAAGCTCTTTTGTCTTCAAAGCATTCTGAAAATCTCAACACTGTTTTCTTGTGAGGTTTCCAATGTTTCCACTTCCTGTTCTCCTTTAAAGCAAAAATAGCAGAAATTAGTGAAAAACACAGCAACCCCTTTTCTCCATAACACTTCCTTCCTTTTCTCTCCCCACAACACTAACTTATTAGAACTTTTCAGGTTTCTTTTTTTCCTCCTGAACAGCTATTGTTTAATTTGAGTTACTTGGTTCATTTATTATTTTATCTGAACCCATTCTCTCATCTCTAAATTTTTGGGGCAGAATTTTCAGAATAATTTAAATGTTAATAAATTCTGAGAATCATGCTCAATATTTTGAAATAAGTTTTGACAGTCTATTTTGAGGAAAACCCGCTGTTAGAGCAATTACCATTGAATGATTTATTATTTGCAAAACTGTTTCAAGAGGAATAAAGCTCTTTGGAGTTGCAGAAACTCAATTTCAAAAGAGCATTCTTTGAGACAAAGGAAAGAAGCAGAACAATGGTACAAAGGCAGCTATAACTCTGTATCAATTAGTGAGACAAAATCAAGTGGGCATTACACAGCCAATAATAATTTGAGATGTGTGATTATTGAAATACCCATTGCAATGAACTAGAGAAGGATAATACAAGTTACCTCTTTTCTTGAAAATACAACCATTATATGCAAAAAATAATTAGTAACCTCAATAGCCACTGTTATATTCATTGTCTGTGGTTGACAGTGTTTTCTGAAGAAAAATCAGATACAAGATGGAATTATGAATACAGACTTGACATATAGTTGATGCAGTCTCTCGTGAACAGAGATAGGTTGTTTTCTTTAAGTCTGGCTGTAACTTATTCATAGACCATTTTATGGACACTACATAAAGCAGGTTGTGCATATTCAATATCACCAAAATATATGCCAAAATGGCTACAAATACTATTAAAATGTGCAGTGTGTGTGAAAAATTGATGCTTAGACTCATCACATTTATAGCTCATATATTAGAGAGGCACCTGAAGCAGAACACTCAGGGCCGGCACAACCCGTTAGGTGACCTAGGCGGTTGCCTAGGGTGCTACAATTTGGGGGGGCGGCGACTGCGACGGTATTTCGGCGGCAGGCAGCATTTCGGGGCGGGACCTTCCACCCCCTAGGGCGGCAGAAAAGCTGGCGGCGCTCCTGAGAACAATGGATTTGAAACTCCCCAACACTTCTGAACTCTGGGCACTTTTGGATAGATCCTGATGTAAATGTCATGGCCAAGCCTATCTCTGTAATGGAACAAATCCTAACACCTCATATCTCTGGGAACATTTGCTCTGAATCTAAACTGAGCTGCCTTTCTCGATAATGAATCCAAACTGGAACATTGAACCTACTGAACACCATACACCTATATACTACACTGATTGGCATGCTACAAACAGTGTAGGTGCTAAATAAGGGAGGTTAGACAGATAAATACATGAATGAATGGCAGGAGAGATAGATGGATGTTCTCAGCATTTGGAGAAGTTTGGATCTGTATATGAACTTTGTATCACAGGTGCATCTTCAGATCTGGATTTTGAATACCTCGAAACCCAGAAGGGTTTGGACATGAGTGTTGGGTTTTGCCCCATCTCTGTTTAAGGTTACCTCTTTGAAGGCAACTACCATCTTTTCATGTGCCGTATACTTATACCTGCTTACTGTATTTTCCACTCCATGCATCCGATGAAGTGGGTTATATCCAGGGCCGGCTCTAGGAACCAGCAAAACAAGCTGGTGCTTGGGCTGGCACATTTCTAGGGGCGGCATTCTGGTGCCGGCCATGCCGCCCCTAAAAATGTGCCCCGGCTGCCCTAGCTCACCTCCGCTGCTGCCACTCATGCACCATAGCGCGCGAAACAGCTGATTTGCACACCGCTGCTCGCCCTCCCTCCCAGGTTTGAGAGCCTGGGAGGGAGGAGGAGACCCTGAGCGGCCATGGCGCGTGTGCTGCTTCTCCCCCTCCCTCCCTCCCTCCCGCCTAGGCTTGAGAGCCTGGGGGGAGGAGGCAGGGCTGGGGATTTGGGGAAGGGGCGGAGTTGAGGCGGGGCCGGGGGTGGGGTAAGAAAAAAACAGGGCGGGCAGCCAAAATTGTTTTTGCTTGGGGCGGCAAAAATCCTAGAGCCGGCCCTGGTTATATCCCACGAAAGCTTATGCACGAATAAATTTGTTAGTCTCTAAGGTGCCACGAGGACTCCTCATTCTCTTTGAAGCTGTAATTCTGAACCAGAGTGCATTGCCTGAATTGCTCAGTTACATATCTGTACCCAACACATTTTCCTGGAACTCTCAGTGCTGTTGTCTGAGTTCTGGGGAACTCAAAAGCATGGATTGCAGCTTTTCCTGTTGGCTTTGTAAAACGGAAGAAAAGAAAGATTTTTAGCTTCAACACAAACAAGGAAAATTTACAAGGAACCACATGATGTTCAATATGTGCACAAAGTAATTAGACTAAAATGTCAGTGTGTTTCAGATTAAAGCTGGATCATTGTCTATACTGCAGTGAATAGAGAAAGTGCTTATTTTAAATTCTGAAACAACAGATATGACCAAGGATTTCTATAGTTACCATACTACACACTATTCCCACCCAGGACTTCACTGAACTAAGGTACAGGCCAAAATAATGGAGTTCAGGAAGGTAGTGTTGGTGAGTCACATACTATCATTTACAAGGAAGCATGAGCTGAATTACCATAGTGTATCTTCCCTTCTTGCTCATTTTAATCTTTTCTCTTTTGGCTGGTGACTCCCCATCAGCAGTCCCTGTCCTGTTGCTCCTGCTACTTTTATGGACTAAGGGAGTCCAGGGTCGTCAGCTACACATTGCTTTCTTATAAAGTTTGGGTCCACTGCAGAAGACACAAATGCAGCATGACCTGATAGTTTTGATTTTGAATCACATCCTTATGTAATCTAAAGTATTATGTTGACAAGACTCATGAATGGCCCAACATTTAAAGGAATTTAAATGTGGGCTTTCCATCCAATGAAAGTCCAGTCTAGATATTCTTCTATCACCCCTTTACTAAGATATAAATTCACTCTCTCTATAGTTTATACATTGAGTGTGTTTCTTGTCTTCAGCACGGTGTGTAATTCTTATTCGTTCCAGACATTTTGATTACTTATTTTGCCATGTGTCTTTCTGCTGGTTCACTGATTTTCATTCTGATTATTTGTATTTAAGGATCCTCATGGCTCCTCCTTTGTATATTTTGAGTCAAGAAGATAGGGCTGTTCATGTGCTGTGCTGTGGATTCATTTCTGTATTTTGCATGGGGTGTCAGGCTTAGGTCAATGCTGGAGCTGGGACTGAGATCAGTGTGATTTGTTATTTTGGTCTTTCAGCAATATGCAAGGTGTGATTGGTCATTTTTCTTTTCATTCCCCAAGTGCATGTGGGGAATGAATGGGATGCCAGTGAAACTTTCAGATATCGCTGAAATGGGAAGATTTTCATATATACATCATTTAGAAATGGGCCACAAATTCTGGGGAGGTTTGACACTGTTTCTTTATAGAAGACACCAAACTGAAACCCTGAACTGGAGTCCAGCTAAGAATTTGGGGTTTGGTTCAGAAGTTCTGCAAAGTTTAGGGGGTGTTTAGGTCTGGAGTTTTAGTTCAGTCAATTTTAAGGATTAAATTAGCTGCAAAATTTGCTTGTGGTTGCAAACTTTTCCATACTCCCAGAGTTTGCTTTGTGCCCTCCTCTAATTTATTGTAAGATTCATTGTATCATGTTCTGCTTCTGCTCTCAGAAAAGATGCAAAGGCTCCCAGCAGGAATCAAAATAACTTAAACTATGCTAATTTCATGGAAACTAAATAATTGGATTTATATCTGCAGGATATTGTCCCTCTCAAAAGCACTTCAGTGAATACTGTGAAATTCAAATTTTTCACTAAACCTGAAAGCCTTTTATGAAGACAAAACATGACAATTGAAAGGCGTTTTGACATTGACTTAAAAATAACTAGGTCTTTTAATCCTAAAATGTCTGGTAATGGTTTCCTTTCTGGAAGCATAAGTGGTAAATATAAAACAAGGAAAGAATTATATGAGCTGAATCTTCAGACAATTCTAAGATGTGCCTCTCCACCACCAAATGAGATAATGTTCCTGAAAACAAAAATAAAGTCACCCTGGACTGTAGTCCACGAAAGCTTATGCTCTAATAAATTTGTTAGTCTCTAAGGTGCCACAAGTACTCCTGTTCTTCTTGTAAGTGTAGAATTTATAGGAACAAATTAGAGTGTGGATGTTGTAAAGGAGGGGGACAGCTGCAACTAAATCAATTCAAAGAGATATGGAAATCAGCCCTTTAAAATCTCCCAGGCATATTATTACACAATTCATCAAATATAGAATCCCTTTATTAATTCATTCGTCTACAAATTTAAAAAAAAATCCAGCCCGAGAGCTTGGGTCTCTTAATAATCAATGCTATTAATAATCATTTATAATTATTAGGTACCCACTTCCATTTGGGGTTTTCTTCTCTTGTTTGAAAATGGGTTTTTTTTAATGTTTTTGCACTCGATTTTCTCCCTTTTTGTATTCTGACACTTCTAATTACCTAATACTTCTATTCACAAGCACAGAAACTGGTGTATGCATAAAACAAAGAAGAAAAGTATAAATAATATTGGAATTTATAATGCAATCCTCCTTACAAAATGCTTTCCACTCAGAGGCAGAAAGCATGCTTCCTAAAGTGGAATGCAGAAATTCTCAGAGTGTCAACAGAGGTGGAGAAGCATAAACGAGAAGGCACTGAAATGAAAGTGTGGTGACGAGGATGAGAAGAGGGAGGGACTGGCAGGGTTCAGTAATGGAGAGGGAATTCTTTGAAACATTCAGTAGTAAGAAGTAGGGCTATCAATTAATTGCAGTTAACTCATGTGATTAACTCAAAAAATTAATCATGATAAAAATAATTGCTATTAATCGCTCTTATAACAATAGAATACCAATTGAAATGTATTAAATATTTTTGGATGTTTTTCTACATTTTCAATATTGATTTCAATTATAACACAGAATACAAAGCGCACAGTGCTCACTTTATATTATTATTTTATTACAAATATACGCACTGTAAAAATTATAAACAAAAGAAATAGTATTTTTCAATTCACCTCATACTAGTACTGAAGTGCAATTTCTTTATGTGAAAGTGTAATTTACAAATGCGGATTTTCTTTGGTTACATTCACCATTTCCATGTCCTCTGGAATGGTGGTTGAAGCATGAAGGGACATATGAATCTTTAGCACATCTGGCAACGCCAGCTACAACAGTGCCATGCGAACGCCTGTTCTCACTTTCAGGTAACATTGTAAACAAGAAGCAGGCAGCATTGTCTCCTGCAAATTGTAACCAACCTTATTTGTCTGACTGATTGGCTGACCAAGAAGTAGGCCTGAGTGGACTTGTAGGCTCTAAAGTTTTACGTTGTTTTATTTTTGAATGCAGATTTTTTTACATCATTCTACATTTTTAAGTTCAACTTTCTTGATAAAGAGATTGCACTACAGTACTTGTATGAGGTGAATTGAAAAATACATTTTTTTTGTTTTTTGCAGTGCAAATATTTGTAATAAAAATAAATATAAAGTAAGCACTGTACACTTTGTACTCTGTGTTGTAATTCAAATTAATATATTTGAAAATGTAGTAAACATCCAAAAATATTTACAATAA